TGTATTATTGTCGGTGGCACCCCGTAGTAGCGAAGTAGTTGCCAAATCACCTCTCGATGGACGCTGTCAAAGGCCTTTTCAAAGTCGATGAAGTTGAGATAGAGAGCTGACTGCCATTCCAAGCTTTGTTCAATGATGATCCGTAATGTGGCGATCTGATCAATGCATGACTTGTTTCTCGTGAATCCAGCCTGTTCCGGTTGAAGTTTTTCATCCAGGGCATGTTTGATTCTCTCCAGGATGATGCGGCTTAGAATTTTGCTTGGGATGGACAGGAGCATAATTCCGCGCCAGTTCTTGCATTGACTTAGGTCTCCTTTCTTTGGTAGTTTGAATAAGTATCCTTTCTTCCAATCCTCGGGTACTTTGCCTTCTTTCCACACCTTCTCCAGTAGTGGCGTCATCAAGTCCGCTGTTACACATATAGGCCTTTCCAAAGTATGACAGTTCCAAATGCTTTACTTCAGCGCAAAATTCTACTTTGATTCATCAGTAAATCAGTTCGTGCAGTCGGACTATTAGTCAATTAACTCAGTGATAATAATGCAAAATTTATCTAATAATATCTGTAAGCCATAAGGAATAAACAATGGTAACATCGTGAACATGACTACCTAATAAACTGTTGGTGCTATTTCGATTTTCACTTGTCAGAATGACTCATTGAAACATAGTAGTAATATAAGAAATACGTAAAAGGAAGACGTCAATCAATATTTTATCAATCATGTGTAAACTATTTGGCAATCTTGTTTTTATCATGGAGTTTACGTTTCATGTAATAAAACAAACATACTCATACACTCACTGATGTTTATACATATAAATTGACTATGAATTGACTATGACATTATTGATTTATGTCGCATTTTGTCAAATGCATACTTTCAAGTACTCGTCAACTGGTATGGTACTATGACACTTCCAAAATATGTACAAACAGTGATTTGGTTGTTTGCTGTTGTGTTTTTTTTTACTTTTTCACATGATGTCTTAGATAGATCTTAGTTTTTGCGTCTTCCAGTATTCACTTTTCAGTCTATTATTATGTGTTTCATTCCACCACAAAGACATATTTATTCGCGTATTTATTCATTGTGATTGAAATTACTACACTTTATGTTGGGTGAGTTGTTACTGGTACATACGAGATGTTTAGATAAGGATGGATTGAAAGTAGTCGTACGGTCCTGTCTAACACTATACCTTAGAGATGTAAATCCAGTGTGGTCAAAGAATATGAGCTTATCAAACATAATCCAGAAACTGTACCGTTAGGATGAATCGCCACCTGTAAGCTCATAATTTTAATGATAGTGTAGATCTCAAAAGCCTTCACCAAAACTTTAGGAATTCTTAATTATGTTTCAGCCTCATTCCTAAACTTGCCTAAATGCACAATATCAGTTTAGACATAGTAATGACCTGATATCAGATAGGGAATCGGTAGAAACCAAGGTACGCTGGGAAGCTGTTTTGTCCTTGTTGGTAACTTTCCAACGGCACACACCCATAAAGCCACTAAGTGTAGAACTCAGGATCTTCAGGTAATGTGGCAGACCCTTTAACCATTAAGCTTTTATAATAACTTTAACTTAGTCTTTGTAGTCTAGCTTACACTATCACTTATGGACTGATAACTGTACAGCCTAAGGAAGAAATTATTGAAAACAGCTGTTTCGAACAGAATTTTATTAACTCGATAACAATTTAATTGACATGATCATCTCTTCGTAAACTTCAGAAAATAAAAATACTTTTAGATTATAATTTTTACAGGAATCTGTATTCAAATCAGTGTAGATTTTACCACAAACCAACATCAGTTGAGGAGTCAGTGAAAACCAAAAATCACCAGACAATGGTGTCATTTCAGTTTGAGACTCCTCAGCAGTGCACTCCTAAGATACCACCAAAGAGCGAACCAGGCCGTCAAGGTTACGAGACCAGGTAGTTGATCATTCAACCACCTGGGCAGCTAGAATTCATGGGTAATTGAATTTCGACTAAATTGACTGAATGTTCAACGAGCTAACTTCGTAATACTAAGTCTTCTGGGTTCGATCCTCAGTGGAGTTGTTGGTGCGTGATGCTGAAAATTCCCAAATTAGGACGAAACAACAACCTAATATTCCTTGTTTCTCAATGATTTTGTTGCCGATTTCGGTTTCGTTTTGAATTTTATAATGACAATACTGATGTTCACAGCTCACTTAAATGAAATATCATCCATTTTGAACACCATTTATTCAAGTGAATATATCCAGTGAAAATACTTTTGTGTCAAACAGAAAATACAACAGACAATATATAGAAATTTATTTCCATTGAATTCGAATATGATTTAGTGAGTCATAAAGTTAGACTGAATGAACTCGAGAGCTAACCGGATGAAATGTCACCTTAATATTTTGTTATCAAAGCTTTGGAATGATTTAATTCAATTTTAGATTTTCCCGTCGATTGGTTGGACCGAAAGGGAATCAATGATGCGCATTTCGTCCTATTTGGGACTCGTTAACTGGATGTACCTGCATTCCCCAGTCACTGAGTGATTTTGTTCCCAATGAGGCTCGAACCCAGTGGCCATAGTATCAAACGTCGAAAGCGTTATCCACTAGACCACTTGGGCCACGAGAGCCACCTCTTGTGCAACGGGTCATACTAATGAATATTGTAAGCATTTACAATTAAGCAAGATTATATCGTTTGCTTTCATGTTGCTGTTTTGTTTTCGCATATTTTATTGAGATGAATAGGAGAATTAGACTTTTTATTTGTTATTTATGGTCAGCTTCAACTTACGAAGACGTTTCGTTAATTTCAAAAGTTTTAATGATTAATGTATGATATTTGTCAGTGGTGAAATTCTCTGGAATGAAATATACAACATACATTTGATTATTTTATCAATAAAATATATATTAATTAATAAACACTTTGGGGTTTCATTGATCAAATTAACTGGGAATAATGACTGAGGATGGTAAAAGAATTTTGAGTACAGTTTTATTCCAGTATTTTGGCTTCGAGTCTCGTAACTCAGAGATTTCCGATCCAACTAATATCATAACCTAAGTTTTATTTTCGAATCCAGTCACTTCCTACCATCTCTGGCGTTGCTTTCATCTTCTGGGTGGAAAAGAAATCCTTTTCTTTGTAAAATGCTCAGTTTGATGAAAATGTGATGAGATGTTTGGCTTCACAGAGTTTCATTAACTAACAGGTAACTATTATACCGTTAGTCAATAAGAGGTTTAAAACAGTGTCCGTTCAACAAATCTGCACTGTGTATTCATAAGATTAGTGTTGAGAGATAATACCATTGAGTGGTTTTTCTACAGTCACGCTACGACTCGCGTATTTGGTAAAAATAAAATAATGGACAGCACTCAGTGATACGAAACGAAAGAATTTTGAGTAAATTATAAGTTGAGATTCTTGACATTTCAGTTACTAGGTGGGGTGACGTGTCGATCGAGTAATTGATACTTAGCCCACAAACAGATTGGACAGTACCTTTATTTCAGTATTTTTGTTGTTATTCAGTAAAAACGTTTTCTATCGAAATCTCAGCTTTCAGAGACACGTAAATTTTTTAAGTCTTAAGCTAACTGGCAAAATGCAGTATGTGCTGTCAGTTTTAGGGGTTAATGGGTACCCTGAGAACTTGTTTCATTTGAGAGTATAGAAAAATCCCCCTTCGACAGGAAAAAATCAGTCTTCAGATTACCTTCCATGGGTGAACAAATCATGATACAGGTAGGCGGACAAGTGAGTCAGCTGTCAACTACACCTTTTACTTATCATTCCTTCTCTTGAGTCCATGAATATTTGCCTTCCAGTGCTTACTATCAAAGAAAATTTTTTATTGAAACCACTTCCTACTGTATCTGCAAGTTCTTCTGCAATTGCTGCAGAGTAAGTATGGATGCAACTTACAGAATGCTACACTGTTGCAGATACAAGAGTTATTAAACCACTGACCTTCACAGAAATCTAGCATCCTTTACTGAAAAATCAATAAGACTTTAACAAATCAGTAATAATTGTTATAACAAAAATCTCCAGTCAGATATAAAAACACGAGTTGAATGCAGGAGAACTTACTTTTCAATTATGTCCTCACAGATGTTTACATAATACATAATTTACCAGTCTAGTGGTGATAGTTCTGTTAAAATTCGTGAATAAGAGTATATCTAAGAGGTGATGATTAACCAGGAAAATCAGGCCATTAAGTGGAAGGTAGAAATAAATACACTGTATAGTCATGAAAATTAAAACAGGTGGTTACATAATTCATAGTCTATACGATGTCAAACAATTAAAAAGCATAACATATATCAGAAAAATTATAGTCCAAGTAATTAGATTAATAAGATAGTAGAAGTAGTAGTGTAACAACAGAAGACAAGGGCCAGGCAACAGATCGTTTATTAATGAAATCAACACATATTTATAGATTTTCATGTACATTATTATAGATTATTGTTAGCAGAAAAACACTGTCTTCTGATTGGTTGTTTCTCACTAAAAGTTAATCTTTAATCTCTTTGTGGCTGTTTCTTGAAGTTCAGATTATCTATCTGCAAAATGAATCCGCCTACGCAAAGTCTGCTGTGATTAGTTGTTGAATCAGTCATTGTTCTTATTTTTTTCACGACCAATATTGGGGACGTAAACATTGACGTAAATGACTGTCTACCAATTTGGCTGGCAGCCAGCTCTCACCACAGTAGAACTAGTTTAACTGTAGCGGAAAATACTTGGTAAAGGGATGTTTATTCGAAATTCGGTATGTCTATATAGCAACGTTGTGCACACCATTTGAACAGATCTCTAGTGTTGTGCTATTTCTGGTCACCATAGCGTGTTTCTTGGTGTTTCTTTCATGTCTCCCATGTATCGCCGCAACGCCGTATCATTTGCTTTGTCTCATATCGAATGTATCTCCCTGCTATTTGGTGATCTTATGCCTCTGAACGTATCTTTGTATACTACGGATAAATTGTATCAGTAGCACACGCCACCGTAGTAGTAGTAGTAGTAGTAGTAGTAGTAGTAGTAGTAGTAGTAGTAGTAGTAATAGTAGTAGTAGTAGTAATAGTAGTAGTAGTAGTAGTAATAGTAGTAGTAGTAGTAGTAATAGTAGTAGTAGTAGTAGTAGTAGTAGTAGTAGTAGTAGTAGTAGTAGTAGTAGTAGTAGTAGTAGTAGTAGTAATAGTAGTAGTAGTAGTAGTAGTAGTAGAAGTAGTAGTAGTAGTAGTAGTAGTAGTAGTAGTAGTAGTAGTAGTAGTAGTAGTAGTAGTAGTAGTAGTAGTAGTAGTACTAAACCATGATTAGTATCTGAGAAAAGTGGTCCGATTTTACGTTAACGGGAGGATGTTCAAGGCTTTTTCAAATGGATTGCGATGACGGGTTGTACATAAAAGATGCACTGGTAAACGAAAAACAGGACTAGTATGGATGCCATAAATAACTCTAAAAGCTTGTTTAATAAAATCAGTGTTCAGTGGCGATAACACATTCCATAATGAAATTACAAAACGATGCTGTTTCTTCTCTGAACATGCAATGTAATGTTTAGAAATCTAACGACGAACGTGTCTAATTGTGTGCTTAATCTAATTCGCTCCACATGAGCATGAGGGAGAGTGAAACTGGGTATTTTGTCCTTGTTTACTTATTCAATATCAGTTCAGTTACAAAAGGGCAGTATAACCCTGTTGAAGTGAATGCTACCTTAATAGTATTTTTTAAACTTTCTGTTGCAACTTCAGCAATAATGTCTCCAAGAAACGAAATTTTAGGAGGTGTGGCTTTCTTATAACTTTCGATACACCAACTTTATCAGACGATCAGTCTTAATTCTTGTCTATCCTGGGCTGCTTAACAGATTGAAATGTGATTGGTTGTTAGAATGTCCTTAAATCACATACAATTAATCAATTGTCAGACAATTTACTATGGTCAGTTACGCCAGTTGTAGCGTGACTTTAGACACCATTTTAATATGTTTATTAGATATTTCACCCAGTGAAACAGTGTTATATACTGCATGACGTTTCAAACACAGTTTATTGTTCATAATCATATGCATTATAACTGTAAAACTTCGATACTTTCGTTTTATAGTTTCCCTTATTCCTTCCTATTCGTCGTAGGGGTATTAGAACTTTCTGGATGTCCAGGACAGGCGGTGAATCATTCCTACTAAACTCATTTTCAGTTGGTTCGGTAAATGAAGCTTCTGTTATCACTCTGATCCATTATTCTGTTATATTAGATTTTAGAAGTGTAATGTTATCCCATCTTATTTCCATAACTGATATGATTATGAACAATAAATTGTGTTCGAAACGTCATCCAGTAAATAATACTGTTTCGCTGTGTGAAATATCTAATAAACAAATTAATATGGAAAAAGGCACAAACAGCGAAGAAAATTTTCTTTTCGACGATTCATTTTCATGAGCTGTACAATCGTAATTATAATTAACAAAGAAATCTTTAGACCAATCAGATAATGGTAAATTTTGTCCTTGGAAAATTGTATTACATAATGTAAGGTGTAAGAAGGGATGACTAATTGTAAGTTAGAAAGGAGACAGAAGTTGGCATGACGTAATAAGTGTGAGATAGTGAATAATCAATAATCTCGTGTAAAATGGACAGGAACTAGTGGAAAGGCTATAAAGTGTTTTTGTATAAAATATGTATGAAAAACAATGTTATTAATAAACAGTAATAGAGTGGTAATAAAATGTGGATGATGGGGACAAAATGATAATAAAAGTATTAATAAAATAAAAATAATAATAATGGTAATAATAGTGAACTTACATAATAAAGGAAAGAAGCAAAATTGTGATAAGAAATTTTACTCTGGCCATGGTAAGGCAAGAGAATGTATGTATCGCTTTTGTATGCAGAGGTCCGGTTTTAGATCTCGAATAGCTAATGCTTCAGCTATGTACAGATGGCGAATCCGAAGTCCCTTTGTACGATATTGAGGGACTCTGTGTAACACTGCGAAGCATTCATGTGGGGGTGCTCGATGTCCAGAGATGACAAGGTGTTCGAGGATCGAGCTGTTGCTATTCTTCTTTTCTCCTCTGGCCAACCAAGCGGGGCAGTGTTCCAGAATACGTTTTTGGACTTGACGTTGCGTACGGCCAATATACTTTGCTCCACACGAGCAAGTAAATTGATAAATACACATTGAGGTGGCCAAAAGCGGTATCTTGTCCTTAGCGTTAGACTGGATTAACTGTCTGCAGGAGAATGTGATACGTAGAGTGGCTGTTGGAAATGTCTTCTTCAGACATTTAGAAAGGCGGTTTCTGAGAATTTCCGCTGCGACATCACCTTTGAATTCTAGGTTCATGAAGAGAGTCTTCTTAGGAACCGTTGCGATGTTTGACATCGGAGGCTTCTCCTTCATGTTTTTGTCAATAAATCTTGGTGGATATCCATTCTCTAGTAGGATTTTACGTAATAAATTTAATTCATTCTCCACCATGTCTTCCGAGCAGATTTTTCTAATACTTGAGCTCAACGTACGTATCAGGTTTCTCTTTCGGATTAGTGGGACGAAGCTCTGAAAGTTGATAAACTGTCCAGTCCATGTTGGCTTGCGGTATATTGATCTTTGGATCGTACAGTCGTGTCGTCTGGTGAGTAGTACATCAAGGAATGGAAATGCGTTGTTCGATTCTCTTTCTAAGGTGAAACTTATTGATGGATGCACTGCGTTGAAGGTTTTGAGGAGAGAATCTAAATCACAATTTTCATCACAGATTATAAACGTGTCATCTACGTATCTCTTGTATAAGTGCAGTTGACTTATCAAGGGATTGAGGATGTTGTTTTCCAGACTCGCCATGAAGCAGTCGGCTAGGAATGGACCGAGAGGAGACCCCATTGGCTACCCCATCTTTCTGTACATAGAACTTTTCATTGAATTTGAACTGGATATTGAACGTACATCTGAGAAGAAGTTCCTTCAGGTAGTTTATTGGGAGAGGAACTTCTAGGTTGTTGGTTTCGATGTAATCACAAATGAAGCATATTGTTTCAGTTAGGGGGATGCTTGTGAATAGAGAGACGACATCTAGTGAGATCATTTGTCTTTCAGACACGTTGACATCCTTCACTGAGTCGATGAAGTCAAATGTATCTCTGAGGCTATATTTTGTCATATGTCTTTGAACTGGTTCGAGGATATCAGCTAGCCACTTCGCGATTTTATGATATGGTGAGTTAATATGGAATTACAACGCCGAAGTTTTACTCATATAATAATGTGACTTTACATTCTGATGGTTTGAAAGAGTCAAATATTTCTTCACTTATAGCATTTAGGCCAAGAATCTTCACTAGATTAGCTTTCACTCTACATTGCAACAATTTGTTTATATCATCAAGAATAGATAACATTTTGGATTCGTAGTCACTTTTGTTCATGATGACAACTCCAGAACCTTTATCAGGCATCGGAATAGTTATATTAGGGTTTTCCCGTAGTTCTTTCAAAGCCTTGATATTCAACTGTTGCAAGGCACAGTGACGACTAATCTAGTGAAGCTTCTTGGCCTAAATGTGACTTTGGATAAATTATATGACTCCACGATTGACCGAAGGCTCCCATTTTCTCCTTCATGTCATCCTTGGACGCCCACATCGTCGTTTTCCATTCGGGTTTCACTCGATGGCCTGCGTGTAATGTCACTCAGTGATCTTCTCAACGCATATCCAGTCCTTCTGGATATTTGCTCAGTGACGGGTTCTAGAATCTCTACTGAACAATCATCATATGTTTGGATAACTATGCAACATGCCAGATACCTTAATTTTTGCTTTTTATACAGTTTTTTATATGGTTTGGGTAACAATACTGTATCGCTATAAGATTATGAAAAAAACACTTGTTAGACTTGCCTTAAAAGATTCATGTCGTTTCGCTTATGATTAGAAGTATTATCAAATGGATATTGGATATTGAAAATATCTTTAGGATATAAAGTGTGATACCGCACATTCTGAATCGTATATCTTGTGTGACACACAAGAAAAGTGCGAAAATCAGACTGGATATTCTTATCTTATATAGACTCATGAAAATAACTTTACTTCATCAAAAATATTTTTAAAAGCCTTGTCTTAAGCGCCACATTTTAGTTTCATTGAGAATATCCAGCGGAAACACAGTCTCGTTTCCAGACTATCGTCTTCACTAAGGCAAAATATTACGTAAGGAAATTAGTTTGATATCCATCCACTTATACTTTAATGTCGTAGAGAATATTACTGAGTTTACGTGAGAAAGTACGTTCTAAAAATTGTAAACACAGAAAAATGATGGCCCTATTTTCCCGCGACATTTAGCTTGTACAAGAGATTGAAATAGTTCAAAAATGAATATATTACTGTAGCCCTTGATAGTTACTCATATCTGGTTTTGTTTTAAAGGTAGTTGTTGTAATGTAGTTATCTAAATAAGCACACATTAACAAATAAAGACAACAAATTCAAAAATTTTCAAGTATTGGTTTTTATAGGGATTTGGTTTGATTGGTTACAGGATTTCATCATGAAATGAAATCGGTTAGAGAACCATTGGAGAGGCTACAGGGAGCAGTGTACAGTTGTTTCGTCCTAGTTTGGGACTCTTCATCAATACGCACCCATCACTGCGGTTCGAACCCAGGACCTTCTGGTTACAAGGCGAGCTCGTAGACCATTAAGCCACTGAGACCCAATCCAATGGCAAGTCCTTGAATTCTAACTTCTGCTAATTCATAACATAGCGCGAACAATTCGCAATGTCTTCTTCGATGAGTTACTGACTCACTTTCAATCTGCTGCATCCTACTGGTCACGAATTCCCACTAGAATCCCAGGTAACTGCCTGAATAGGGCCAGTCGCTAGTGAGCATCAGTTGAATTTTCAAGAAATTTCATACATTTGAATGAATGAATTTGAACAAAGCAAGAACTACAGATTTAGCAGAATAAAGTGGTACCATCTTTTATTTCGTTGCCTTCTCGTCAGCTGCTTACAGGCCAAAGACAGTATTAAATATATCTACAAAAACAATTTTAACATACTTGCACAGAGTTCATTTTAAACAAAAATCAATTGATCAATATATGCATACAGTAGTAATACATATATATATATATATATATATATATATATATATATATATATAATATTAAACACTATTCTGAACAATAATAATCATACACAATGGAAACTTTTCAGCATTTAGCATTCAGATGAAAAAGAGATGAAAAATATCCAGTTACCGGGGCAAAGAAAGACT